CACCTAAAGCAACAGGCGGTTACAAAAACCGGCCGCAGCATCTCCAGCCAGTTGGCAGCAGAACTGGATTCCTGCGGTGGGATTTCTCCAGTCTCTTGGGTGCGGATGAGATGCGTTTCCAAGCTTTCCTCTGCAAACATGATGGCTATGATCCCCCCTTTCTTTTCTTTCACCCCCCTCCGCCTTGTTCTTGCAAGCGAGGAATCTGCGATCCCCGACTCCAAGAGCTGGCAATGATTGAGGACCAGGGCAAAAATCAGATCGGTCTGATTAAGCTGGGATTCCTCGCCTGACTTCTGTGGTTTTTCCAGGCAGATTTATGAGGTTTTAGGAGTGCTGTTGCAACCCCTTCCCTCCGAGACCAGACGGCTGCTGGAGTGCATGGCACGGGGCATGGCTGGGGTCCCGGATTCACCATCCAAGTGACCTTGGAGGTAAAGCCAAAGCCACCCTGGAGCCTCAGGTTACCCTCGTGTCCGGCTCCGAGGCTCGCTTTAGGATATTTTGCAGCTTGAGTGGGTAAATTCGCTTAATCCCTTGACAAAAGGAGCCGGCCCCTCCTGAGCCCATCCCAAAAGCAACTGGGGTGGGATTAAAGGCGATCTTTGCAAAGCAAAAGGGGATCTGCGCCGATGTTGCCATCCGCCAGCATTGCTGGTGCTTCTCCTCTGGGATTTGTCCCCTGGGGGTGACCCCCAGCCCGTATCTGCTTTGGTGCAAGGGGTCGGAGGACCGGGTAGCCTCCCTTAAATATTCCCCTGGCCGATGGAAACGCTTCCTCGCGTCGCCCCGTAATGTTAAACAGCTGCCGCGTTTCAGCGCTGGCGCGGTGACCGCTGATTATCCAGGGCTTCGGTATGAAAGGCGCAGCGTGAAGGGAGCCGGCTCCCACCAAAGCAACTCAGGAGCAATTGCAAACTGCGGTGCTTTTTGCCCCGGGATGCTCTCGAGAAAAGGATTTTGTTTCATGTTCATCCTTGCCTTCAAAGAGGTGGTGGTCATGCTGCGTGTGCCTCAGTTTCCCCTGCCCTGAAAAGGTGGGTCAGCCCCAAATATCCAGCAAAGAGGGGAAGAGAAGGGAGACGAGGGAAAAAATCGTGTGGCAAACAGAAAAGGGATGGGGCAGAGGGATGGGAAGGCAGGAGGGCAGCCAGGCACACCGGCAGGCTGGCAAGGTGTCCCCCTCGCCTCTGACTTTTCCCCCCTTGGCTACCGCCCACGTTTTTCCAGGGAAAATCTTGGCCCGGGCTTCAAACCGCAGGAGGAGGCTGGCAACCCGGCCGCTGCGGGTATCTGAGCTTTGGGGGAGAGAGACAGGCTGGGGTATGTTTTTACCGGTTGTTTTTTTTTTTAAAAGCTGGGCAGCCCTCGCATCTGACCCTGTGTTTTCTTCCGTCCATCTGTCTGCACTCCAGAAATCTCAGTGTTTCTTTTTTTTCTTTTTTTTTTTTCCTCCCCTCCCTACAGAAATGCTGGCTTCTAGGGGAGAAAGGAGGGCAAAAAGAAAAACACAAAACCAAACCCAACAGCCCTATGAACAAACAAACCAACCTGCAGCCCCAGGTTGGGTTGAGCATTAATCTCCGCGAGCTGGGGAGCGTGACGGAGGGAGATGAGTTGTGCCGGGGTGTTGCACGGGTGCTCCCTGCCATCCTTCTGCACTGGGTGGGTCCAGGGATATTAGATCATTATGTGCATACCACAATAATAGTTAGCGTCAGTGTAAGAGCAGTTTCTCCTCCCCAAAATAATAACAATTAAAAGAAAACAAAACCAGTTCGAGGATCTCTGCAGACTTCAGCTTCCGAGTGGTTCCCACAAAGGAGAATGTAAGCAGAGATTTTGCAAGAGCCTGTATCAGAAAGTGAAATCCTTCAACGTTACCAGGTCAAAACCAACCACTTCAGTTCCTCGTGCTCTGTTTTATATTTATTTTTTCCATTGCTAACCCTCAGCACATGCTGTTTGCTGCTGGCAGTCCCGCGTCAGGCGATGCTGGTGGTACCCGTGCGTGCCTGGCTTTGGGCTCTCCCAGAATCAGCAATGCTGTGGCAGGAAGGATATCGGAGCTGCTGTAATGCAGGTGTGTTGGACAAAAGGCATTCCTCATTTTAAGGGGGAAATGGGTGGAATTTGATCTTCTTGAGACCAGAGGAAGTCAAAGATTGCAGCCAAGGAGAAAAGATGTAGGAGGTTTTGAGGGGCATCACCAAGCAGTAGAAACTCCTGCTCATTCCTGGCCATAAAAGCAGTGCATGGGGCAGAGGAGGGATGCTCCCGCCATCATCTTGGGCTTGACCTGGTGTCCTCTCCCCCTCCAGAGCAGGTAAGGGCCTGATTTTAGAACTGTATTTACCAATTGGACAGAAATCCTGCCAAGATATTCATGGACCCTGGTTGGGAATGGCAGGGGAATTGCCCTCCACCCGCTGCACTGCGATGCCTTGCAAGGAGGCAGAAACCAGTCCGTTTGTGCCCCTGGGCTCCCCAAATCTGACCCCGTGGCTGTCCCACATCTGATCCCCATACCCGCATCCTCAGCCTCGATGCTGGGAAGGAAACCCCGGAGAAGGCAGCGTTCTCTCCTGGGTGGCTCGTCAAGCCAGAGCCTGTTTGCAAAGGCAAGGGGAGGACGAGATGAGCGGGATTCAACTCGTCCCCAAGCCGGTTGTTGGCCAAAAGCGCTCAGTCGACCTCTCCTGAGCCTTGGGGATCCTGTAATTTGCTCTTGGCCCCAGCTCCAAACCCTTGGCCAAGCCGAGGCGGTGCAGGTGGATTGCTGCTCTCCCCGGAGCAGTCAGGGTCCATCCGAAACCCAACCAACTCCCGCACAGTCCAGGGATGGGTATAAATAGATACCAGATGGTGGAACAAGTGAATTTGACCTTTTAATCTGCACTAAATAGCTGTTTGTTCGCTTTGCTTTCCATCTTCGCTTTTCAGACGAAGGGAAGGAGGACGGATGTTTTCTGAGTCCCTCCGTTCCTGCGGCTGAAACAGTTTCTTGACTGGATGTAACCCTGAGGATGTGAGGGTCCGTGTCCCGGGGGATTTGCGGTAGGGACTGAGAACTCCCGGGTAAAAACTACCAGGATGGAGACAAACCTGTAATGGGTTAGAAAAGGATGCGGCAGGATTTGCTCCCTTGGAAATGAGGGATGATCCCATGATGCGCAGCTCCAGCGCAGAGCATCCTTCTGGATCCTCACGCGTGTAATTTTAGGAAGGCTTTGTGGTATTTTTAGGAAAATTCCTAACGGACTTTCCCCATAGGGTAAACAATTCCCCTGGTCCCCTGGAGCAATCGTTCGCGGGGATCTCGCCTGAGTTTCTTGCTGCGGTGGTGACTTCTCCGTGACATTTGTTGCATGCTTTGGGCTGGGATGTGAGTCATGTCGCGGAGATCTGGCCAGTCTAAATAAACGAGTCTATTCAGCGTTCCCGTCATCCTTGCCGGGGCCTGCCCTCGGATAATGAGCCAGGGAGGACTTGGGATACGTCTTGCTGAAGCGAAATATCTGTTTACACCGAGCTGCCAGCAACGGGATAAAATGCGGCAGAACAATTTAAAAGAGCCACAACTGCCCTGGGCGAGCGGCTCTCGGTGCAGCAAATATGCCGTCGCTGTTAGAGGAGGGGGATATCTCCCTAAACATCTCCCTCCTTTGCTAAGAAAACGGCATTTTGTGCGTATCGCTGTGCCGGCAGCATCGTGATGGATGAGCACGCAGAGCCGGCTCCGCTCAGGAGACGTGTATTTTGGGTGAAATTCAGCGTCGGAGAGGGCTTCTACTGACTCCTTCCAGTTTTATTAGGTAGTGGCACTGAAGTGAGACCGTGGGGTGTAATTCATCTGGGGAGGAAAGAAGCCACTTTCTCTTTCCCAATACTATATTGTGTAATAGCTGCATTTTTTTCTCATGACTCCAGGGCCGTGAACGGGTGCCAAGCAGAGGAGGAATTTCGATGCTCCGATAAGATGTTTACATCAGCTTAAACATCGCTGGCGCGTTTGACATATTAAGTAATCTCTGGTTGTCCCAGTCGCCCGAGCAAGGGATGCTGTTGGGCAAAGACGCGGCCATCGAAGCGTCTTGGTCCCAGTTTGTTGCCAAGGACTTTGGGTTCAAACCCTGCCGACCAGCGTGGGCAGGAGTTTGAGAGCGATGGGAGGGTGGTTTTGCACCGGCGAGATGTTGTGCACGATGTGGTTCCTGCCCCGGGGCAGCGAGGGCAGGGTTAATGCTTTGGGAATACGCAAAAGCACTCACGTGAGGTTTTCCTCAGGGATTTCTGGGTGCAAAGGGTTCACGGAAGGTGAGAAACAGCGGCTGGAGAAGGGGATGCAGGGGTGGGCTCGTCCCGCCTGTCCTTTCCACCGGCACAAGGTGTAAAGCATCACGTACAGAAAAGGCAACACTTAGTCCATCAACCCAGGTGGCTGCCTGAGTCCGTCTGGATGTGGTAGGCTTCATAAATGAGGTTGATTTCTCCTTTCCTAACCAAAAAAAAAAAAAGGAGCCCCATGGC